TGAGCAAGGAGAGGGGAGAACACGTGGCAGTGAAGGAGACCAACCTGGGGGCTTCCTCATCATCTCCTTTTTACTTGTTCCCTTTCATTCAGCCTATCGTGCCTCAAGGCAACACTAACATTTCTTCCTCAGGTTCTTTCTGCAGAGAAGAGCCAGCTTTGACCCTACAGGCACCTCTGAGGAAGGTCTATGTAGCCATATAAAGAGATACAGCCTGGGGGGCTCACGGCAGGATAGAGACAGCTCAGGGCAGCATTCCCAGATGCAAACCAATGGATGCAGCCGAGGATTTTTAAACAGGAGCAAGACAGAAGGAAGGGAGTTGACTAGACTAGGGGGATGACTAGACACTGAGTTTGGCTTCTCTAAGGGACATAAAGGCACCATCCTGTACATTTTTCGCTTTTTTTGATTTTACTGCTTGTAAAGCTGCCTAGAAAGGATATATAGCTAAAAAATCCTGCCAAGATGATGTCAAGATGAGTTAAACCAGAACTTCTGCAGTAAAAGCTAAGGTTGATTTGTGTTCAAGCCTGAAATTGCACAAACTTTCTCTCCTACTCTCTTGCTTAAGGCTTTCCAAAGCATCTGAATCACGCTGTGTGTTATTTCCTTACGTTTTATCATGTTTATCAGCTTCCTGAAGCATGTAAGCAATGAAGGGGTTTTCGGGCTGGCTCAAGCTCTGGCAGGCCTGCAAATACTGCTGGTGAAGACCTGGAAGACACGGCATGACCTGCTCAAGAAAGAAACAAACTGTTACTGCTCGTATCGTTACGGTAGCTCAGCAACATCTCCAAGGACCCAAACTGTTGTGCCAGGTGCTGCATAACAATAAAAAATGGGTTGGTCCTAGAAGAGTTGTCTCAGGATGTTGCAGAAAAATAACAGATAAAGCAGATATGTGGAGAAAACATGGGAACCAAATGCAGGCTCCTGCACATACATCTGATTTGCCATCATGCTGAATTGGAGCCTAATACAGAATGAATATTCACGGAGTGGATCCAGCCCCACGGGCCGTGCCAGTGGATCGGGCGCCTGAGCAGGTCGGCGTGACGCGACGCTGTGGGGTCGGTCTCAGCCTGCTGAGCGGCACAGTCGGGACTCACCGGCACGCAGGGGCTCCCCTCGGGCTCGCACTGCGAGGGCTGCAGCCTCCCAGGGCAGCGGGAAGGTGAGTGCGGCCAAGTGGAGGGTTTGGACAGGATCTTCCCCCTGCGTCGCCGCGTCAACGGGCCGCAGCCCCCGGCTCCTCACAAACGCACGGCCGGATTCTGGGCCTTGGAGACGCAAACGCAACAAGAACCTGACACCAGGGCCCGGAGCCCGGCCGGCCACCTCCAGCAGAGAGCAAAGCCCTGTCTCGACCCACTTGAACCGGTCTGGCCCGCGCACGGCACGGGGTGCACGGGACACTGAAACCACCCAGCCTTGCTAGTGAGCAGCCCTGCCCGAGGAAGGCGCCGTCAGCGGGCGCAGGGAGCTGCTCCGCTCAGATCCAAGGAGATCTGGCAAAGGCCAACCTGTCTCCAGGAGGAAGGTGTGGGGCAGAGCGCGATGACGACTGCCCTCCGGTCGCCACGGCGACGCTGCCTTCCTTCCAGGCGAAATCCTCCCTTTTGCCCTTTTTTTTTTGCCGGTGACGGGCTGAGTGGGAGGCCCGGCCTGTGTGGGAGGTGCAGACAGGGGGCTGCTGCCAGGCACAGCATTCCCAAGGCAGCAGCGTTCCCAAAACAACGGCGTTCCCAAGGCTTCCATGCAGCCGCCTCAGGATGTGGCACTACCAGCCGGCCCGAGGCGGAGATGCCGCCCGGGGGCACCGCATATCCCCTCTTGAGCGCTTTGATGCGGGGACACCATTTCAGAAGGGGAATTGCGTCTGCAGGGTCAATGCCTTGCACGACTGTCTGGGAAAGCTGGGTCTTTAGCATGGCCCGTGTGTCCAGGGTGTGGGCTGGGTACTCACGGTCTCCACCTCCAACCACAGGCAGGGGTCGTTCCTGAGTAAGAGAATTCAGAACTAATGACAAACAAAGCACGTGGCACAATGTCCTGATGGGACTGTGCAGCTCCATGTCACCCCTCTCCATCTCTTGTGCCCCCCAGCCCTCCCCTTATCCCCTTCACTGGCATTTCTGTAGCTCAGAAACCCACATATCACAGACAGAGGTACCCCCGTTTCATGATAAAATTCACCAGTTTTATCATCAGTACACAGAACCAAGAGTTCATCCGGCCCCAGACTTAAACAATGTCACCATCCAAATTCTGTTTGTTGGGGCACAGCAGCTCAGAGCTCTGCACTGGGTATGTGCATTCAGCTTTCGCCCTCAGTGAAGGACAGCAGGTTTTTGCAAGGACTCTGTCCCTGAACACTGAGCTCTTCCAGTATTTATTTAGAGTAGGAAGATGCTGGAGTACTGTTGACTTTTTCTCTTTTTCTCTTCTTAAATCGGAAATCAGGAGCAGAGATGGCTGAGTCTCAGCAGAGAGGCAGCTCCGGCATACAGGGCACTCGCTTCCCCAAAGCCAGGACCGTCCATTTTGAGAACAACCTTGTTGAGGATGCACAAGAAATGCCAGCAAACGAGGTGCCGGAGGAGGCAGCTCCTCCCTCCATGCATGTCACAGACAGGGTATTTTTTATTGATTTAGCCAATAAGCAGCAGACAACCATCCCACTGGAGGTCCTGAGGCTGGAAGATCTGGAAGAGCTGCACGCGGAGAGCAACCAGATCGAAAGCATCCCGAGAGACATCAACCACCTGAGCAACTTGAGGGTTCTCTACCTGGACCAGAATCACATACAGGAGATATGTGAAGAACTGGGAGAGCTAAAATGTCTTCAGAGCTTAGATTTAAGTAACAATCCACTGTCGTACAGTTCGCTGCCTGTTATCAGCAAGTTGCAGGCCCTCCGTCAGCTCAGGCTCTATAACGTAAACCTGCAGGAAATCCCAGTACAGATCTGCAAATACCTACATCATATCGAACTGCTCGGACTCTCTGACAATCACCTGAAGCGTCTGCCCAAAGAACTGGTGAACCTGACACAACTCAGAGAGATTTACCTCCAAAAAAACAGATTTGAAAGTTTTCCCCTGGAGCTTTGTCATATGGTTAATTTAGAAATAATAGATCTGGAACAAAATCTAGTCAGTGTCATCCCTGAAGAGGTTGGCTCTTTGACAAACTTGGTTAAGCTATTTTTAGCTTTTAATAATTTATCCTCCATTCCTGACACACTGCAACACTGCCAGAAACTAACCGTGCTGGATCTGTCTCATAATCTTCTCCACAAGCTTCCCGAGGGCTTGAAAAATCTCCCTGGAGTGGAAGAAATTGGACTGTCTGGTAACAGTCTGAAGAAGCTCCCACGTGAGATCTGCAGCTGGATGTCCCTTTCCCTTGTTTACTTGAGGAACACTGGACTGCGCACAGTACCAAAGTCCTTCACCAGATTAACCAGTGTCAGGATACTAGATTTGAGTGAAAATCGTTTTGATGAGATTCCTAAAAGAATGTGTGATATGAAAAATCTGGAAATTTTGGCCCTGGATGACAATCAGATACATGAGGTATTTGTTCTTTCCATTTTTATTCTATTTATTTCCTCCCTTTTTCA